GCGGGGGGCGTTCTGAGCGGGCAGTTCCACTGCAGCAGAGACTGGCTTTTCCTGACAGCACATGTGGGTCATGAACACCTGTTTCTGTGACAGTCAGAGCGACTGCACCAGTATTTCACTTACGCCTCTACCGACACACTCACACACACACACACACACACAAACCATGCACACGCACATGTGCACACGTGCACACACACCACGCACACAGAGTAAGTCTCCCTCGCCGCGTGCACGTGAGACGCCCCACGAAGAGCTGCCTGGTGAGCCCTCAGCAGGGCCTGGCCTCGCTCCTGGGCTCTCGTGCCTGGGCGACAGGCCCCCTACACGAAGCGGCACTTACTCAGTTCCACCGGCTGCAGCAGCCCACGCTGGGGGCTACTCCACTGACCCTCATTAGGATCGAGCCAGGATCCTCTGCTACAACACGCTCAGCGCTTCTAAATGCCTACAGATTCCACTGAGGGGAGCCTGCCTCTAGGGGGCTTTTCTCTCCTGTGCCTGAGAGAGAAGGGGGGGGGAGGCCTTCACCTTAGTTCTGCCAGAATGGCCCCCTTCAGCCAATCTGACCGTCTAATACATATCAGCTCACTGATCATGGGCAAATGTTTTTCCTAATGGATAAAAATTACACACAGTACTCAAAGTTTTATATCAGGTTTTCCATTTTTAAGATGCTATGTTGTTTTTTTCCTACATACTCACCTCTCGATGTCTCTCTCTCTCTCTCTCTCTCTCTCCCTCCCTCCCCCTCTCCCTTCATCCCTCTCTTTCACTCTCTGAAAAGCAATGGAAAATTTATCTCAGGTGAGGATTTTTAAAAAATGCCTGATTTAGCTCTCATTTATCATAACACAAGTGCGAATTCCAAGGGATGAATTTGCCGCTGCGAGCACAGCTTTGCCCACGCTGTCAGGTCTCCCAGGTTGTGTTTACGTTCCCGTGCGGGGTTCCTTTGCTGGAGTGTTACTACCGATTCAATAAGTAGTAATTCAACGCCTCTCCGTGCTACGCTTCAAGGATACCGTGGTGAGCAAGACCAGTAGTCACTGTTCTCAGGAAAATTACATTTCCTACGTGGTTTTGATTCTTTTAAAGAGACACACATCATCCTTCCACTGAGGTATGATGACCTGTGACTGTCTCTTCTTCAAGTTCACTAAGATGCTCGGGGCCCAGTCTACCCAGGGTCCTGCTCGCGTTCATTTCCTCGGAGACCTGGGACCCGTGCGCCAGGGGGCAGCACCGAGCCGCCTCCTCTGAACCCCAGGTGTACCTCTCCTATTCCACACGCTGCTAATCACTCAGTGTATCTGATCAGGTTTGCTTTGGCCTGGCTCTGTTTGTTCTTTTGAATGCAATCTCCTCTCATCCGAGCCTATTTTTAAAACCTGTTTAATAAAAGCAAAATCCCTTTTAATCTCGTCAAGGAGAAGAGAACATTCCCCTTCTCAAGCTCCCCGTTTCCCGCGGGGACTTCCCTCGGCGTCACACACTCCGGTCCATTCTGCTGCTGGACAATGTTTTTCCTGGACGCTGGGACTTGTTTTGTTCCATTTTTTTTTGCACTTTGGTCGTCCTCAAATTGGGTTTCTGGTCATTACTTATCCTGTCAGAGGACTCGGGACTGACTTAAAGGCAGTTCTTCGTGTCCCGTTGGGTAGAGAGAGCTGGCCGGCCGGACACAGAGAACCAGGAGGCTCACCGGCAGCTTCCCGCCCGCACACGGTGCCCGCGGGCGTCCCTTCATAGAGAGGCGCGCAGTCAGCTCTTTGGGGCTTGGCCTGCGCTGATCTCTCAACAGCAAAGAGGACCACAGAGGGACGAGGCCCCTTGGAAGGAGCAAGCCGAGTTCGTCCCACCACTCAGCGGGCCCCGGGCAGAAGGATGGAGAACACTGCTCGAGAGTGAAATGCAAGGAAGCGAGATACACACTCCGGGGTGTTCTCTGGGAGACCCAGGCGGAATGCGTTCGCCCAGGACCCTGGTCCAAAGAAAGCCGCGAGGATGCTGAGAGGCAAGACAGGCCAGCAGAGCGCATGCAGAAGCTGCTGAGCGACCCAGAGAGCAGAGAGAGAGAGAAAGGGGGGCAAGGATGCGGGCTCAGGGGGACTGGTTGGCAACAGCTGGAAAGGACTGCAGGGATTTCTATCGGAATTTGGGAAACGCTTTCAATGTCAGATGCCACGTGACAAGTGTACTTGTTAGACTAGCTTACGCCAGTGAGGGGAGAGGTGACTTGATGGCTTTGTGACACTACAGAAGACGGCTTTACAAGGGCATTTCTACATTCATAACGGACTTTTCAACTAAAATGTTCAGTAACAGCTTTTCATGTGAACCACTAAATGCAACTACATTTTGTCCTTTAACCAACATGTTAGAATAGAAAAGAAAAGAAAAAACAGGCTACTAAATCAAAGTTTTCATCTTACCCTGAAAAATCAGCAGAATATTGTCCATAATCAAAGATATAGACTCTAGTAATTTGGCACACTATGAGGTATCCCAAAGCAAACACAAAACAATATCTGGAAAACAAAAATAAGCTAGATTAGTGAAAATAAAGGGTTCATTTGGTTCAAGAACACATTTAAGTAATTTGTTAACTATGTGACAGGGTTCGAAACTTCAATGTCACTAGATCCACTCCCCGAGAGCTTTCTTCAATAAGTTCGAAAAACTCCGCTAGCTCCCGCTCCCGTGTGCTGGGACGCGGGGGCCCCGTCAATGGCTAATGCATGCGATGGCTGCCTCCGTCCGCTTCTTCCTTCTGAAAGGCCTCCAGGCACCAAATTCTGGGTCTGAAAGTCATGCTCTCGGGCATAAAACTGTGATTTGCTCTACTTACTCCTCCTTCTTTCTAGAAAACAATATTTAGCACAAAAACATCTGGCTGAAATGTACATTCAACAAACTCTTCGTGGGATTTTTACACATGTGTCCTCAGTGGTCTCTGAGCATACATCCTGCGTGGGCATCAGATGTGCAGTTCCTCACACTGTCAGGCATGGGAACTTGTGATACTAAGACATGGTGCGGGCGGAGAATTTACATGTCGATAGGAGAGGACACAGACCCAGAAGCAGATCCGGGACTATATACATGGCATGGCATGGAGTGAAGGCTGCGGGCAAGTCGCGGGAGTGGACGGATTACCTCCCAAGGAGTTGACATCTGGTGGGGAAAAGCGTGTTGTACCTGCATCTACACAATTCCAGCCGGATTCAAGAATTATACACAAGACAGAACCAAGCACACAGAAGCTGTGGGTAAAGATTCAAACGTGCTCAAATGAGGGAAGGACTTTCTCATCATTTCTAATATTAAATAGTAGTAGCCCGGTGCACAAAATTCGCGCACATTAAAAGGGAATTAATTGCCCTAACCGGTTTGGCTCAGTGGATAGAGCATCGGCCTGCGGACTCAAGGGTCCCAGGTTCGATTCCGGTCAAGGGCATGTACC